AGAGACGTTGGTACCCCGCGTGGGTGCGCCAGCGAGTTCAGGTTCAAAGCCCCGCTTGGAGAAGCCATGGCATCGATGCTACCGAGTCGCCGCTCGATCGTCGCCTGACAATGGAGTGCTTGCGACTACAGGCACGGAGGAGTTGTTGGCCGCGACAGCTGGCGCCTTCGAGGATTTCAGCACCTGGAGAGACGCATTCTCGCAGGCGTGTGCAGACGTATACGAGAGCGTGGCTGTCGTTCCCATACGCTTCACAGATCCCGACGGCAACCCCGCAGTGCCGCGCGCTTGTCCCGATGCAGGTAAGGACGACAAGATTTGCCAGATTGTGAACCAGGGGCGCCAGCCCGGACCGCGAGTGCTCTCCTCGGTGGGCGTGCGGGCCAGCTTGTGCCAGAAGTGCAAGTGCAAGGCGCATGGTCGCGTCTGGTCCGTCCCCGTGAGTGCCTGCGCATCGGGGGGGGCATCGCTCTCTGCAGACGTCGTGGGCAAGCTGGTCGTCACGGGCGACTTTTGGCCATCCGCGTTGCTGGTCTTCGAAGAAACTGAGTGCTACGAGGCGGTTCGCCGACACGTGACAGCAGCCACCGCTGACTCGATGGCGCGGCCCCTGTCTCAACACCCTCGCTTGGGCGAGTTGTCCGGCTTTGAGCGGGCGGCGCTGCTCCGGGCATTCGACCGCGCTGCGGATCTTGCCCCAGATCAGCAGACGTTCGGGTCACTGCTGTCGGCGTACGCAAACGCCGTTTGGACGCCGCTGTGCGTCGACCTGTCAAGGTATGCGTTGGCGGCCACAGGGGCCGTTCTCAACGTGGATTTCAGCGCGTCCGATTGTCGGCAGTTGAGCTGCCGAGCGCTCGGGGGCAGGAACCAGCGCAAGCGGGTCTTTGGGGGCCTTGCCGCACTCGAGGATATACCGCCTCTGCCGCCACTGTATTGTCCGATTGAGAATCGGCCCCAGAAAGAGAAGCTCCTCCTGACTGCGCTCACGTTGATGCAGCTGGACGGCGCTCGGCCAATGGGGGCGAACACAGACAATTTGGCGGCGGATTTCTCGATGATGGTGTCGTGTCTGCAGGCGGCTCTGCCTCCTGGCACTGTTGTCATGCAGGACAGCCCCGCGGATGATTTTATCCGCGCGCAGATGGACGCCGGCCGCATCGTCGTCGACCGCTCGACTTACAAGGTGTTTGGCTTCGAGCTCGGCGAGGACCCGTTACATATTTATATGAGATTGCTGGGAGCCATCCATATCTCATCTCGCGAGGCCGCCTGGGCAATCCGCTGCCTGCGGAAAGCCCTGGGCAGCTGGAACCCCCTCGTGCGCGCTGGACACGACGGGGCCGAACATCAGGACGCGCAGGATGAATTGCTGTATGCCGCTGCCGATACCGCCGAGGGACGGGGGCCAGCGCAACCAGTAGCCAATCTCCCCAGCATCCTCTCTGCGTACTTCCGTGCACAGCGGCTGCCGCAGACCGCCCTGAAGATGGTCCAGGCCAGGGCTTCGGACAAGTGGACGCATCCAGATAACGGTGCAATCCTGCCGCCGTGCGCCAAGGCCGTGGTGATTGACGATATCGCGCGTTGGGCGAACCCGGGGGTTCCGCGCGCAGAGGCGACGGCGGTCGCATATCGCGCCTGCTACGAGTCTTTCCCGACTGCCGAGTCGATCCGATCAGATCTACAAGGCCTGATGAACTTATTGCGCTTGCCGTGTTTTGCTGGCGTGCCGCGGGATGCCGGCACCGCGTGGCACCGGGCTCAGCATGCGTATTTGCTGAGGTTGCAGAAGCGGCGGCCCGTGATGCGACGAGAAGACAGCGCCCAGCCGGCAGCGACAAGCCTCCAAGCTGTTCCAGCGGGTCACCAGCCGTTCTGCGATGCTGTCCAGGAGCAATGCAAGGACGTCCACGTCCACGGCCTGCTGGCGGCATTCCGTATCAAGGCCTGGGCCCATGCCCACGGGTTTGACATCAGCCTCGGCAGCATTGGGGTCGAGCGCTTATGGCGCAACATCCAGCGGCAGGCTCGGAACAAGGGGCGGTCTCAGGCGAGCCTCTCCACAGTGCACATTCTCATCCTCAGCCGCTGGATGCGACTCTTGCAAAGCCGTCTTCTTCGTATTTTCCACGCCCGCGGCCACGCCAACACTGCCCATCTCGCGCAGCTGCTGCTTTCTAAGGAAAAGCTCGCTGCCGCACTAGCTGGCGAGACTCAGTGCAAGACGCCGATTGCATCAGCTTCCCGCGCGCCCGCCCTGCCATTGTCTGAGGCAGAGATTGGTCGGGTTTACAGCGTTTTCACCTCGGGCAATTTATAATAGCGATTCGTTCCCCTTGAATTGGGAAGTCAAGGGCAAGGGAGCTCTGGAGAAAAACAAATGAAACGGATACGCTGGGAACGCACGCAATGGGGGCCGGGAAAACGATGGGGGAAATGCGGAGAAGGAGGAAGTGGTGCACAACAAACAAAATTAACAGAGGACGCCGATCGAATTTAATATCGGGGACTACCGCGAGAAGGACGAGGAGAGGGAGCAGGATGAGCAGGATGAGGGAAGGGGGAGGAGGAGGAGGAGGCGGAGAAACCGAATTGTAAAGAGAGAGGGCGGGGCAACGCAGGAGGAGGCACGGGAAACAGACACGTCGGGAACGCCAGCCAAGCGACCAGGCGAAATGTTTAGAGAGCGGCAAAAGCACGTCGAAGATGAAACGGATACGCTGGGAACGCTGCAAGAACATGTCGTAATGAGGACGAGGCGAAGCACTCAGTCCAAGAGAGGAGCAACACAAACTTCAAGAAGAGGCGAGACCATTGCGAAAAGTAGAAAAGTAGAAAAGTAGAAAAGCAGAAAAGTACAACATCACATTTCTACTTTTCTACTTTTCTACTTTTCGCATCCGTGGGGAGCAATCGTACACTTTTATACTTTCCTACTTTTCTACTTTTCGTGTCTCTCAGTTTGCCGGACCCTCTTTTCTACTTTTCTACTTTTCTACTTTTCGCACATTGTTTCCTGCATTCTGCCCGTCTTTACTTTTTTACTTTTCTACTTTTCGCGGCCCCGCTTTGGCCCCCCCCGAAAAGTCAAAAAAATTACACATTTTGTTCACAGCCCGCGAGGGGGGTCGCACCCGCGAGGGGGGTCGCACCCGCGAGGGGGGTCGCACCCGCGAGGGGGGTCGCACCCGCGAGGAGGGTCGCACCCGCGAGGGGGGTCGCACCCGGGAGAGGGGGTCGCAGCCCCGAGGGGGGTCGCACCCGCGAGGGGGGTCGCACCCGCGAGGGGGGTCGCACCCGCGAGGGGGGTCGCACCCGGGAGGGGGGTCGCAGCCCCGAGGGGGGTCGCACCCGCGAGGGGGGTCGCACCCGCGAGGGGGGTCGCAGCCCGCGAGGGGGGTCGCAGCCCCGAGGGGGGTCGCACCCGCGAGGGGGGTCGCACTCGCGAGGGGTCGCACCCGCGAGGGGGGTCGCACCCGCGAGGGGGGTCGCACTCGCGCGCGCCTCCACGCCTCCACGTTCCTCCTCCTCCTCCTTCTCCTCCTCGTCGTCCTCCTCCCTCCTCCGTCGTCTCCTCCTCCTCCTCCGCCTCCTCCTCCTCGTCCTCCTCCTCGTCCTCCTCCTCCTCCTCCTCCTCCTCCTCCTCCTCCTCCCCCATCCTCCCTCACTTTTTTCAAACTGGGTCGTCGCTTACGCAGACAGGGCGCCCAACGTCGCACCTGACCAGTCGGGCCGAACCGAACCGGAGCGGCCACTCAAACCGAATCGAACCGGTCGGACCCAGCCGCGCGAAAACCGGAACCGAACCGAACCAGCGGCAGGCCCAAGCCGAACCGGCCGAAACCGGACCGATGCCAAACCGAACCGGCCAAGTAAAACCGACCCGGCTGCAGAACCGGACCGAACCGAACCGAGCCGATCCCTTCATGTGCTATGTTGTACCACGAAGCCCTTAAGACTTGGATCTGTCGTGCTTGTAGTTTGTTCGGGTCCTCTCAGGTTCGGGCCCCGGGGAAACCGTGCGATCCCCACAGACTTTCGAAGGCTCGGCGAGAGCACCTTGGCAGAGTTGTGCGAGGACTCTTCCCAAAATAGCCTTATCATAGAGAGCTTCGCAATCGTTCCGAACCCGAGTCCTTCTCCCCCCCTCCCTCCTCCCTGCTCCCGCGGCCGGGATGGGGAATGGAATGCCCCCCACATACCGGCTCTCTGCCTCCAATCCTGGAGGGCCGCTTCACCAAAACAAGTTCGACCTGCCAACTGGAGCTTTCTGCTCTCCCGGGTGGCCTGGGGGCGGCGGCGTTCCCAGCCGATTCCGGCGGCCGGCTGAATGCGGCCGCCAGGCCCACCGTGCTCTGCACCTTGGAGGTTCGAGGATTCATGCTCGTCGTTCCTTGGCGTTCTTTGCCTCTTGTTTGGAGGCCTCTGGGAGGCCTCTCGTCGCCACGGCTGGAACCCCTGGGGGGAGAGTGCCCACAGGTCCGTTTTTTTGAGGGGGCTGAGAACCACATGTACAACATAGACATAGCATGACATGTTTCGCAGGTCAGCGCGGGCTTCTTGGGACGGCGCTGGACTCCCCAGAGGATCGACAACCTCTTTGCTGGAGGAGGACCTCCAGAATGGAGGAACAAAGCGCCTTCGGAGTGGAGGTCGAGGATTCATTTTGGAGGCGTTCGATCCTCCGACCCCCGCTCCACCACACGTGAGGACGAAACATAGAGGGGGACTGGCTCAAGGGGGGGCGAACCATGATCTGCAGTCGGCGATACCTCGTCGATAAATCGGCAATCGGCCCCCTACAGCGAAATCACAAGTTCCTGGGCGCGAGAGGGGGGCAACCATGCCCGATCGGCCAAGCATGCGATTGGGGGTCGATGCGTCCTCCCCTGGGGCTAAGATCTCCCCCTGCTCTTGCTCCTGACCCAGGCGCCGCCCTCGCTGCAAACGGGGGGGGGGGGGGTGCAGGTGTGCAGAGGGGCCTTCGCTCGCCCGACGTCTCCAGAGGTCAATAAGCGGCCAGAGGGGCCTCCGCGCCGGAAGCGCCGCCAAGGCAGCTCCAGCGCCGACCTGGGAAATACGCGCCGGCCTCCGAGCGTTTGTGTTCGTGCCGCTTTGCTCCCCTCCGGCGACAAGGCGTCTCCTCCTCGCTCCTCGGGCCTCGAGGAGCTCCTCGAGGCCCCCCCTCGCTCGAGCTTCGAGCAGGCCCTCGACCCTCGACCCTCCTCGAGGTGCTCGGCACCACCATCGCCAGCACCGCCGCCGCGGTGTCGGCCTCCGACGCCTGCGCCGTGGCCGCGCGGAGCGCCTCGCTGCGGGCCCAGGAGCCGCGCGAGGAGACCAGCTTCCCGAAGCACGCGGCGGTCAGCTCCCCAGGCAGGCCGAGGGCCCTGCAGCCCTCCTTGGGGGGGCAGGAGGGCCACCCTCGTGAGAAGCAGCCCGACAGACGAAGCCTTTGGCAAACGCAGCTCGGGAAGGAATTTAAGAGGGCAGGGCCTTTCAGTAAGCGCCCAGGACTGCTTCTAGTGCGTGCCAGTTGTGGGGGCCGAGGTTGTTGTACCTCCCTCGGCTCCTTGCCGTAGATGTCGCTGACGAGCAGGTTCACCTGGCCGTCGGCGCGCGCGTGTCGCGGTCGTTGTGGCCGTGGTCGGGGTCGTCGTCGTCGGCGCCGTCGGGGCGCCCCGCCGTCGTCACTGCTTGACGCGGCTCGAACGGCTGGCCGGGATGAACCCCTGGAGGGTCCCTGGGGGGGCCTTGTCGGAGCGGAGTTTGGTCGGGGCTAGCGCGCGTGAGGGGGGACGGGGGGGCCTCCTCCTCAGAGGGCGGGGGGCCGCCCCTCGGGAGGGCCCAGAGGCCTTTGGGAGCTCGCGGCAAGGCCCTCCAAACACCCAGAAGATCGGAAACCTCCCCTGTGGGGGTCGAACCTCCATCCAGGAGGGAAAAACGCCTAATGGGTGGAGGGGAAAGCCTCCAGAATCGCGGAGGTCGAACCTCCATCTTGAAGGTTCTTGATCCTCTGGGGAAGCCCGCCGGCTTCTCAGAAGGCGCCCCCCCCCCGCCGCCAACCCCTGAGCGCAAGGGAAAAGCCTGCAGAGGGGAGGTCGAACCTACAGTCTGAGGGTTCTTGATCCTTCGGGGACGCCCGCATGCTTCTCAGACGGAGGCCTCCCTCCGCCGCCACCCCCTCCCGAGCGCTCCGCCGAGGCCTGGCTGGCGTCTCCGCGCTCGGCGAGCGCGAGTGCCTCCGCGAAGGAGGTGGCCGAGGTCAGCACCTGAGGAGTGAGGGGAGCTCCAAGCAGACCAGGGAGGACAGGCGAGAGCGCCCAGCAAAAGTGCTACCGTGAGGAACGCTGGATAAGGAACGGAGGGGCTTTGATCCTCGGCCATGAATGGGTTCCCCGACCTAGACCTGAGGATCGGCCCGACAAACAGAGCACATCTTCAGCCCGAAATGGTCCCTGTTTCGGCGTCTTCGCTGCAAGAGCCATAAGTGCATCCTCAGAGGCACTTGGGTCGTTGATGCTGGCCCCACCAGCCCTGCTAGAGCCGCATGCTCCAGGCAGTCTTTGCTGCCTGGCCAGGCAGAAGGAGAAAGGAGGGAGGAGCAGACAGACGACGACGACGACGACGAACGCGCAGGTTGAAGGCCAAGGCCGGCGGGACGAGGCAAGCGGGCAGGCGGGATCTAGGGAGGGGCGATCTAGGACTGGGTGGGGCTTTTGCGCGAGAGGGGGGACTCTGAGCAACTCTGGGGAAACCCACCCGTCGTGGTCTGGTCGGGATTTTCTGTCCCTTTCTGTCCCCTGACCTGTGGTGGGCAAGCGGCGTGGCCAGTTGACGGTGTAGTGTGGACTCTGGTTTCTGCGAGCACAGAAATATTCTCTGGGCTGGCGCTGGCCGCACAACGATGGTTTCCCTCTGAACAGAGCAAGCAGATTCACAGTCCAAGCTTGCCTACACTGTCGCATCGCAACCACGCCGTTACGGGCCGCACCGTTTGCCTGCCTTTGGCCTACGGCACCTGCGACAGGCCCATGAACGTGGCCCCGCCGCAGGCCGTGCCGCCGACGCGGGTGAACCCGCCGCGCGCGTGCCTGCCGTGCCCCCTGTCCGCCTCGACGCGCAGCACGCTCACCCCTGACCCCATGACCACCAGCAGGCACGGGAATAACGGCCAGGGCCACAGCATCGGCACGTGAACGCCGTCCTGCTCTTCGCCGCAGCGGACGCCGCCACCGTCGTCGTCGCCGTCGCCGCCGTCAGTCACAGTGGCACGGGCATGTACCATCCTGCAGCAGGGTCGCATCGTGGTGACGCGGGCGCTGATTTCTGACGCCGCATGGACCGTTCGGCCCTGCACGATCGCGGCTTCCTGCCAACGCGGGTCGTTCGGTATCGGCCGGTTCCGGGCCACTGGCGGCGCTAACCCATGAACGCCCTCGCTGGGGGTCGCCGCCGCGTCAACGCGGCGCGAACCCACCGCACCGCCCCCACCCGAACTAAACTGACGCGGCTGTCGCTCTTGAGCGGCACTGGGGGACTGCCGTTTTTCGAGGGGGTCAGCCTCGTGAAGTCAACTCCGACGCGAGCCAACACTACATCAGACGCCGATCCTCTGGGCCCGTCCGGGGCCAAGGGTCGGCGGGCACTGCCAGGATGGCGTATGCTCCAGGAGGGGAGGAGGGGAGGCGGGGGGGAGGAGGCAGGGATGACGAAGGAAACCCGAAGGAGACGTGCGGGGAGGGAAGGAGGCATAGGAGGAGAGGATGAACGAGGAGGAGGAGGCCAACTCCCCCCCAGGGAGACGCGACGGAAGATCCGACAGGCGACGAGCAGCACTATTTCGTCGTGGAGCAGCTGCGCATGGAGACGCCCCACGCGGTCGACCTAACCCTCGCGAGCTACGCCAACTACGCGTGGAACATCGGGCTCGAACGGGCGGGCGTGCTGAACACGCATGCCGGCTTCATCTCAAAAAATCCCGACAGCTTTCGCAAGGGGTCGCTGCGACTGCCGTGCTTCCGAAGGCCCCCTAAGGCTGGTGCCACCTGGATCCAGGTCAGCCATTGCCGCCTCCCCCGTGACCCAACGATGCCGCGAGTCCGTGGACACCGACGGAGTATGGCCCGAACGGGCACGCCGAAGCTGACCATCAGCATCCCTATGAGGAAGAGGCGGCGTCTTCGAACAGGTGGGACTCCTGCTCCTCGCCATTCCACTGCCGCTCGTCCTCCGGGGAAGGCACGCGCAGACACGTAGCACGAATCGGGGACTAAGCCGACCGATACTTCCTCACAGGATGCAAGACTTCACGTATTTCATTCCACGACTTGCAACACGGATCAACGCCAATGATCCGAACCTCCTGCCCATTCAAGGCGCCACAATGTGGACCATCGGCCCGCGCACAGCGGCCAATAATGTTGTCCAGTGTCAATTCCCTGTCCCGACATAATGAGGCAAAGGAGGAGCCCCTGCCGACATCATCATGCCGAACTCCGTTAGGCCAGCAGGTCGTACTCTCCCGTCGAGCCGAACGCCATCATCATGGTCAGGCCGTGCTCTGTCGTCAAGCGGCCCCCCATCCGCACCATATCCTTTAAATCCTCAAGAACGTTGCGCCAACAACTCAACAAATATATGCCTAAGCCCGCCATGAAACCCTGCTCTCCAAAGTCCTTTTCCACTTCTACATCACATGGTCGAAGATGTCTCTTGGCGTAGGGCTCTGAGCACCAGGGAAGTCACCACCAAGCTGCACCATCATCAAGCCGTCTTAGTCCTTCGATTGCCATCATGAGGCCTTATGCCGCTATCACTCTGTATGCTATCAGCATCATGCCGCGCAGAATAAACATCAGGTCGCAATCGTCAACCATCATAATTACGATCAGCGAGCGTAGACTATCATCTTGCTCTGGTCGTACCCGCACCCCAGGCTCATGTGCACCATGCCACAATTCAGCTAGCACAGCGTCAACTTGGGAGTCGACGTCGCCCTGTGGACGAACGGCGGCAGCATCAAGGACCTCCGGGAACTCCATAGGACGAGGCCAGGCTGAACCGACATCGTCCACAACATCGTGTCGCCGTGAACGTTTGGGAACCGATGCAGGGGGTTTGGGACGATCAGGATCACCTTGGGGGAGCGCTCGCGCTGCTGGGAAGGCCCGCGCCGCCGTCAGAGACCCGAAGATCGCCATCGTGCGCAATGTCATTATCTCTGTTGTCGTCGACATATGTCGTCATCACCGTGGCAATCAGGGTCGCCAGGCGGGCCTCGCGCATCACCAACAGGGACAGGCCGAAACGCAATCGAGAGATTGGAGGCACCACCGAAAAGCGAGCCTCCTGCCCGAGTTGCAGCCGGTCCAAGACCCATCGGAGGCGGGCCGTAGACACCGCCAGGCCAAGGGGGAGAGGCAGCGCGTGCCGCTGGAGGCCGCCAAAGCGCACAAGAACCTGAAGCAGGTAGGATGCTGCTGCTGATGATGTTGATGATAGTGATGATGACGATGATGATGACGACAAGGAGGATGGTGAAGATGAACAGACGGTGGTGCTTGTGGTAATGATGATGCTAGTGATGATGGTCATGATGAGGATGAATCCTATACCGACGACGACGACGATGGCGACGATGTTGATGCTGATGCTGTGATGGTGATGGTGATGCTGCTGATGATGATGACGATGATGACGATACTGACGACGATGACGATGCTGACGACGATGACGACGATGATGATTATGATGATGATGGTGGTGATGATGATAAGGATGACGATGAGGAGGAGGAGGAGGAGGAGGAGGAGGAGGAGGAGGAGGAGGAGGAGGGCACGAAGCTCGGCGGGCCGGTTGGGCTTCAACCACGCCTAAGCCTGCATGCGATGGAGCGCGGCCAACCTCACGGAGGCCCGCTGGTCGACGCCCACGGCCAGCCCCACGTCCATCCTGTACTTCTGGATGTGGTAGCACTGGCACATGAGGCCGATGGTGAAGATGCAGTCCACGTGGGACCGCTTCGTGTGGTACAGCTCGTCGCCGAGCCCGAGGAGCTCCAGGCCACTACCGATGGCGTCGGCACCCCCATCGCCCGCGGCCATCGCCCGCAGGGTCGGGCAGAGAACGTAGTGCTCCAGCGCATCCTCACCGTCGCAGCCGAAGATGCACCGGCGAGCGTCGATGACGGCGCTCATGCGACGCGAGGTGGTCCAGCCGTTGACCGCCGTGCGCAGCCACGACCACATCCAAGCTGGGCGGACCTCCGTCAGCTTGCAGCGCAGCGGAGGCCATCTCTCACGCAGGACGGGCAGCGGGCAGTCGATCCCCCACCTGCGGAGCCGTCGGTGGATGATGGCGACGAGGTCCTCAGGGTACAGCGTGCCACGGAGCGCTGCAGCAGCCGCGGCTTGGCGCTTGGGCTTCCTGGCAGGGGTGGCAGCGGCCGCGTTCTTCGCTTCCAGGAGCATCGCCGTCTTCGCCTTCAAGATGCACCTGCGCGGGATCGGGATCGAGAGCGAGTCCAGCGTCGGCCTGGTGATGTCGAGCATGTCGAGGGAGTCCGAGACCATGGCGTAGTTCTGCACGATCGCCCTTCTCGTACGCCACCACGGTGGGGACCAATTGCCCTTGATCACATCGGTCAGTGGTACGTGTTCCACTGCAGCTTCATGTAGGTGGCGGAGGTGCACATCCCAGCCCCTCACCATGTTCTCCGCAGAACGCATCATCGCGGCGATCGTGTACGGGAAGAGGCCAATCGGCGCCGGCGAGCCACACCACGCGCTCATCGAGAGGATGTCCGCCTTGCGCATGGAAGACGGTGGCAGTCGCAGCAGGCGGTGCAGGGAGGTGAACTCGACCTTCCAGATGGCGGGCACGATAAAGTAGAACTGAGCGAGGTACGAGAGGCACGGCAGCGCGTTGATGTTGCATGCACGGGCAGCAAGGCTGGTGGCCATGCCCGTGCGCGCCAGCTCCCAGCAACGGGACCACCACTTCCCCGCCGCGGCCTTCCAGATGCCAAAGTCCGTGACGCCAGGGCCCAGGTAGGTCCCGAGGTACTTGGCCGATGAGTCGATGCGGAAGCCACTCCAGCGTGGGACCGCCCCCGCAAGGAAAGACTTGACGTTTTGCAGTGTGTTGTCCGTGATCTCCTCCCACAGCGGGACCAGCACGCACTTGTGGAGTGCCAGCTGCAGATTGAAGGCGAACTCGATGGAGACGAAGGTGCGATCGATGCTCGGGAGGGCGACTGCGTTCTTGATCAGCATCCCGAGGTCGTCCGCGCAGGCTGTGAGGGATCCGTGCTCGGCGATCGCTGCTAGCAGGGCACGGATGGGGGCGTCCATGGCCAGGCACCAGACCGTGCCAGAGAGCGGGCATCCTTGCATGATGCCGCACAAGAGCGCAAACAGTGGCTCCAGCTCCGCGCTGGTTCCCTCGGCTCGGAAGGAGCTGAAGGCGAGGCAGTTGCTGTAGAGCGCCATAATCACGTTGCGAAAGCCCAGCGGGACCCCGTAGCGCGGGAGGACCTTCTCGATGACTTCCCTGAAGAGCGATGGGAAGGCCTGACGGAAGTCGAACGACAGGAACATGGGGCGGCGGGCCGCATCATCAGGAAGGAGTCCTTCCCTGCGGCATTCTGCGTCCAGGAAAGGGATGTGGTCGACGAAACGCCGCCCCGCAGTGAAGCCCTTCTGCTCGGGTGAGGTAGATGAAGTGGCAATAGGCTGCAGTCCTCGATCCGCGCATGCCGCGATCAGCTTGGCGTCGCAGTTCTTGAGGGAGAGAGCGCGCACGGTGGATGCCGTGCGAGTGCATGAGTCAGGGACGTCGTCCTCCTCCGTGCCCTTGGGGACGCAGATGAAGATCGACCAGTTGAGGTCGAGCGGGGCGACTCCGTCGTTGAAGATGGTCTCCATGAGTCCGTGGAGATGCTGCAGCGCACCAGGGCTGCGACGCCATGCGGCGTACGTGAGTTGGTCAGGTCCCGCAGCGCTTGGAGGTGCTCTGCTGACCGCTCGTTCGAGGTTGTGGAGGGCAGGTTGGGGAAGTTCCACCACCGGGTGCCGCGGTGCATGCTTGTCCAAGAATGAGTCCAAGGTCTTGAGCTGCTCAGCGTTCGGCCTCTTCGCGAAGATCTCTCCCCAGTAGTTCGCCACAATCGTCTTCATGCCCGCGGGGTCGGAGACCACGTGCTGAGCCACCTGCGAGTCCTTGGCGGTACACGGTGTAGAGTCCACGCGCAGGCCAGAGAGGATCATGCGACGCCGCCAGGGGACCCACAGCTGAGCGTGTCTGGCGGCCTTACGTTCAACTCTCCGCCAGGCTGCGCTGTCGCGCACGTTGGCTGTCCGAGCTGCGGCCTCCGCCACTTGTCTTCTCATAGAGTGCACCCGCTCAGCAATTGCGTCGAAGTTGGTAGCAAAGCTGTTGGTGTCCACAATGTGCACGGTGCCGTCGGTGACCTTGAGGTGGGTCGCCAGCGCGGGGCAGGAGTCAAGAAGCCTGCCCGCAAGGACGGCGTCCTGTCGCCAGACGGCTCTCGCCGCCGATTTGAAGCCCATGTACGAGGTCTCGGCCGTGGAGTCCTTGACGAGGAGGGAGAAGTTGGTTCTCGGCTGTTCATCCCGCACACGTCGAGCGGCTAGCTTCATGCACTGCTTCGCTGCTCTCCATCGACCTTCCGCCGTTTCCCCCTCTAAGGAACAGTGCGCCAGCATGAGCGAATAAGCCTCGGGGTACTTCTTGTGGTTGAAGAGGTGTGTCGGAATAGGCTGCTCGTCTCGCGGGACGTGTCGAGCAGCGGTGATCTGCAAGACGAGGGGCGCGTGGTCGCTGATGCCAGCCTCGGAGAGCTCCATCGCATCCCTCGCGGTGGTCAGGATCGTTGATACCGACAGCATGGCATGCGCGTCAATCCCCACAAAGATGCGGTCGACTTGGACAGCTGCTTGCAGGACTTGTCGTAGTGAGTCGGCCATTGTGATTCAATCTCCAGAGCAGCAGCAAAGAGGCGCCGCCACGCAGGTTGACGAAGTTGGCATCGATTGTCAGGTCGTAGGCGCCACGCCGTAGCGTCAGAGGGCGCGCGTTGGCTGACTGGCGGGCGAGAGGCAATGTTGAAGTCCCCGACGGCCAGAAAGACGCGGTGCAGGGAGTCGCGGCGCGCCCATGCCAGGCCACTGGACCAGGTGCGCTGAATGGCGGAAAACTCGTGCGGCTTGAGGTCGTAGTTGTGAATGTTGAAGATCTGCATGCTGTACTTGCCCGTGCTGTCGGTGATCGTGAGGAGCGCCGCTCGGCCAGCGGCCACAGAGACGAAGCTGTAGGACGGTAGTGCTGGAGTGGCGTTCCGTGAACTTGACCGTGTGTAGATTGGCTTCGTCGTGGGCGTCGGGGGAGGACTTCGTGAACTTGACCGATTGGTGGAGCGACTTGTAGCCGATGGAGACGAGGATGTACGTGAACTTGACCAGGGATCCTGAGTCGGTAAGGATGCTACAGGGGGTGCGGCGCGCGCATGGGAACCTTCCCGCGGCGAGGCACCCCTGCACCCCAGAGATTCGGCTCTGGGTCCTTCCGCCCTTGGACATTCATCGATGATGCGGGGGACGAGAAAGGCAACACCACCCACGGCGGCGGTGGGGCCAGGGGAGAGGAAGCTCATGTACTTCTGCGGCTGCGCCTGGAGGAAGATCCTGAGCGCGTCCTCGGAGCCGTGGACCTCATGCACCGCGATGATGGCATTGACCTTCATGTACGATGCGAGCAGCGCCTGCCTGCGTCTGCGCAGCCTGGCGTCCGAATGGAGTAGGCCACGAGCATTCCACACCACCATGTGAAGGCCACGAAAGCCATGTCGTGCTCCAGGAGGGCGCCAGGGCGCCCACAGCGGCGTGCTAAATCCACTCGGCATTGTCCTCCACGGAGAAGGCCTTCTTGAACTGCGCGTTGATGGACTCCCTGTCGATGTGCAGCCTGGCCACCATGTCTGGGTTCCACCTGATGATCGTGTCGATGTGTCGGGATTCGCCCATCTCGAGCTTGGCAACCTTGACGCCCTGGGAGGTGACGATGCCTCGTGCTCGCTGCGCACTGAAAGAGATGCCAGGATAAGCTTCTGCGAGCAAAGTCGAGAGCCTCCTCGACTGGATCTCCATTCGCACTTGCTGGGGCGACTTGTCGGGCGAGATGTACAGCGGGACGGTGCCACCTCCGACGCTCTGCGCGCAGAACGCACGCCACCCGTTCCTGCCTGCGGGGTCTCGAAGCTGCCGAGCGAGGGCTTGGGCACGGGGTAGTGCGACGCCGTCGCCACCCTGCACAAGGACGTTGAAGCGTTTGGATGGGACAGCGGGGTCGAGGCGGACCATGTCATTGGAGAGGCCAGCAGCGCGAATCCACTCTTCGAGGCCTTGCAGCGCCTGCGCGGGACCAACCAGCTGCGGGGCGCCGATCGAGAAGACCCTCGGGTTGGGCTGGCGGCCCCACGCCTCCAGCTCTTGGAAGTCCATGAGGGGGAGCTCCTTCTCCGCGAGGGCCAGCACCTTGTTGATGTCACCGATCTGTTTGCGCATGGCAGCCTGCTCGGCCTCCAGCGCGTCGGCACGCTGACCGATGGAGGCGATGTCGCGTGTCTACACGGCGATGGATCTGTTGACGGCCTCCTGCTGGGTCTGGAACATGCGCACCAGCTGAGTCTGGCAAGACGTGACTTGCGCCATGGAGGTGGCAGCGATAGCATCAGTGGCTTGACGAATGCAGCTCTGGAGCATGTCCTGCATGTCTGTGCCGCCCGCGTCCACAGGGGTGGCCATCCCGCCGATGGGAGTGCCAGCGGCAGGGGCAGCAGCGTGTCCGTCGGCAGGAGCAGCGCGTTCATGCCATGGATCTCCACCAGGATGTTGCCACGGATCAGCTTGAGCATGATGGGGTCCCACTGGGGGCTTGCCCGTGGTAGTCTGCTCCACCTGCATGCCCATCCGCTCCTGCGTGGGGAAGGTGGGCGCGGCCTCGAGGGCGGCGGCAAGCTCCTCTTGTGCAGCACGGTCGAGACCAGCGGGGGCATGTCGTGCTCGATCACTGGCCGGAGATCCCGAGGCGTCGGCTTCGCCGTCAGAGCGGGGGTGGCCCCGCCGAGCGCGCCTCCGCGCCGGGGCGCGCTCGTTGGTGCTGCGGGAGGCGGAACGAATGTCCTCGGGCGGGGGCTCCTTGCCTTTGTCAGCCCGCCTGCGGCCGTCAGCAGCACCAGGACCACGGTGGCCGCCACCAGCGCGCCCAGCCCTGCGGCGCTCCTCCTCGGCCGCCATGAATTGCGATGGAGAGCCCTCGCGGGCACAAAACTGTGGGTCCAGGAGGACCAGTCTTTGGCGGCAGCACGCCCTGGGGGTGGCTGCAAAGGAATCTCGACTCCTGGCCGCGGCACAGCGGTATCCATTTGGAAGCCGCCGCGCGCCATGGCCTTGAGCCAAAATGGCTACGGGGGAGGAGGAGGAGGAGGAGGAGGAGGAGGAGGAGGAGGAGGAGGAGGAAGTGCGGGTGGAAGTAGTGGGGGGGAGGGGGAGGGAGGAGGACGGGGAAGGAGGGGAGGGAGGAAGAGGGGGAGGGGCTGGCCCAGCCAGGGTCGATGCTGGTGTGCAGCTCGCGCCTCCCCCCAGGAGTCCTCCACGCAGAAGACCTCGTCATCGGGCCCGTGCTTGCAGAGGAACCGCAGGCCGCTCACCAGAGACTCCATTTCCTTCAGGGGCCCAGACTCGAGGAAATAACGACGGCATAAGCACAACCTTTCGGAGGTCCGCGCGGACTTCTTGGATCGGCGCTGGGCACTCCTGGTGGCGCATACCGCTCCTCCGAGCGGGGTCCAGCGCCGATCCAAGAGCTGCGCGCAGCGCTCCAAAACTTTACGCCTGTGCCACTTTTTTTTTCCTGGGATGCGGGACAGGCAGCAAGCGGCCCCCCAACCCGACGAAGGTGGTGGGACTTCTGTGGGCCAACACTCCCACCCCCCCTTCCCCGACAACAAACAGAAACGACGCAGCAGGCCGGGACGCACACCGCCGGCAGGCCTCCGCAGGCCCGCTGTGGGAGCCCCAGACCTTGTGTGCACATCGGCGACCCGACTTGGCCGGGGGGCCCCACGCCCACCAGAGACACCCCAGGCATCCGCCGAAGCGTTTTCGCTCCATCCGCGGCCCCAGGACCCGACCCCTTCCCTGGGGCAGGGATCCGGGTTCGAAGGCCCTGGGGCCCGCTAACGGGCCCCAGCGGCCGACATCTGGGAGAAACGTCGGATCGCAAAAACGAGATCGTCGGAGATCTGGGACCTTTCTGCCCCCAGGTGGGGATGGCTGCCGTCTCGCTCGGGCTTTCGCGGCGCACGCCCCCGCAGGAGAGGGGGCTGTGCTGGGAGAGCTACCCTGCGCTGCCCCGGTCGGGGATGGGGTGGCCATGACGATGCTGACTCCTGGAACGGCACCATGTCGACGTTGAGGGACTGGCGCATCAGCTCCCTGAAGCGGTGGGCCCCTCCGCCAGCCGCCACCACCTGGAGGCGCTCGTCCTTCGCGTGCCGCCGCGTCTTCGCGGAGCTCAGCAGCGAGTCCAGGTGGGCCGTCTCGCTGGAGACAAAGTGTATCCTGACGGCCTGGCCATCCACCGTGGAGTCGAACTCGAGCCCCTGGTGCCGCTGCGCGAACGGGCCGAAGTCCTCCGGCACCTCGTGCCCGGACCCGCACGTCGAGACCAGGGCGCATTTCACCAGGGTGCCGCCGATGTCCATGCCGAACCTGCCCTCGGCCTTCTTTAAGGACTTCATGGTACCTAGCACTGTCTTCCAGGTCGATTCGTTCTGCGAGGACGAAATCCTTCTCCGGCTCATCCACGCATCCTCAGACTTCCGACGGATTATTCTTGTTGCAATCCGCAGGCCCCAGGTTTCCCGACCCCTGCCGTGGTCGTTCGTCCCGAATCCAGGTCTGATGGCCCCAGGGCAGGAAACGGCATCTTCGAGGCTGAAAGAAAACGGTGGGACTGACAAAAAAAATCCACCCGTATTGTAGTCTGCAGAAGAAGACGACGACCTCTCCTCTCAAACACTAAGTTTCGGAGCTCCGCGCGGATTTCTTGAATCGGCGCCGGGGGCGATAGCCGCGCGGACTTCCGAAAATTTCTGCTGATGCCGACTTTTCTGTTTCGATGAACGGCGACACGCTGGCCGCTCCGAGATCTGTCCAGGCCGACGTATCTCTGGGGACGACCAGGTCCACGCTGGCTGTCGACCCTTCCCCCGGGACCAGCCTTCCACCCCGCGCCGCGTCTTCCTCTTCGAGTCGTGGCCTAGCCATCGCTCGGACGTCCATTCCCCGTGCATTTTTCGATGTCGTGAGTGCATTTCCGCAAGATGATCCAGGATGTTCCTCGATGGTCCTCGCCCCCAACGAATGCAAGCGTTCGAGCGATGCCAACTGGCTCGGCGGTTCAAAGATGAGGCCACGAGGCATGGGGCCCTGCGGAGGAGGGGCCTCTCAAGCACTGGGATCCCTGCCTCTCTCCTTCGGGCCCGACGTCCCTCGTGGCCCCGCCTTTGCACCGCCAAGGGTCGCCGAGCGCGTTCCACTACCCGCAAAGTGCCTACTCGCAAACGTCCGAAAAACACCTGTCTGCTTTGATGTAATTTGTCGTAGATCCCCCGCCGGGGATCCAGGCCATTTGCGAGTAGTTGCTCTGCGAATGGTGGAACGCGCTCGTCGAAGGGGTCCTCCGCCCGCTCGTCGCCCGCCGGCCAATCGCTGCCGGCGGCCTCGGGCGCGCTGCCCGGGCCCGCGTCCCTCTCATCCTGGCCGATGGCATCGAGGGCCTGCTGCAGCGCCCGCTCGCTCGTGCACGCGAGGGCCGCCCGGAGCAGCCGGCACCGGTCCGCCCAGAGCGGGGCGCCAGGCTCGGCGGCGGCGCCGCGCCCGGGCGCGGCGGGGCGGCGCCCCCTCCCAGAGGATCGAAAACTCGTTCTATGCCGAAGGCTCTTGCCGCTCAAGGCTTCTCGCCTCCAGAACGGAGAGGTCCGACCTTCAGGATTGAGGCTTCTGATCTCTTGGGTGCTGGGCTGCACGCGAGTGGCCCCAGGCACAGGGCCTTTTTCTTTTCTAGGGGGGAACGGAGATCTGGGCGGTGCAATTTCTTCACACTGGGCGCTTCGTCCGGTTCCAGATATAGATCCAGCTCGAAAAGTGCAGAGGAACTATGGGATCTAGGGTCCAGGGCTCTCTTTGTGTATCCTCGTGATGTTGTTGTTTTCCGTAATAGCGTCGGATATCAGGGGAGGTCTTTCCTGGTTCTCTGGAACCCTCTCGCCTCGATGCTTATTCCAACAACTGCGCCTCGCGGTTCTCATTCTGGGGGTGCCTGGGTCGTCCAGGACGGCCGCCGAACCGGAGCTGTGGCCCGAAAGCCGCTCGGGGGTGACCTGTGGTGCGCGGCTTGCCGATCGCTGCGTGCGATGCCGGCAGTCGCCGCATGCATATGCTTGGGCGTGCGCCCTCGCCCCTCCAGAAGCCGCGCACCGGAGGCCACTCTGGCAACTCCTACGCGTAGCCGACCTGCAGAGCGCGCCCAGGCAGCAGTCCATAGCACTGGGGTCCGGCGCGGGCCTCGCATGGGTCCCGCCCTGGGGATACGGCCGCGCGTGCCCGAGCCAGAGATCGCGCGGGCGTCTCCGAGCAGAAAGCAGCAGGGTGGATAGGACGGGAACGATGCCATGATGCGATTGGCTCAGGAGACGTTTCAGGAGTTCCACAGTATCCAGCGGCCCTCGTTTTTGCAGCCCGTCTGGGGCATCAAGAAATCTAGATCGTCCTGGAAATCTTGGGACGGATCGTTGGAATGCCCTCTTGCTTATATCATTGCATGGCAGTAGGGTGATCCGCAGTGCAGCTTGCTTTCTGCAGCCGCCCAGCTGGTTCAGGCAGCTCGGAACTCGCGCGGCTCGTCTCGCTTGGAGACGCCCAACACCCGCCCAGAAACCCATTCGTTCACCAAATAAACCACCCACCCAGACATATTCCAAAACACCCGCTCGCCCACCAACCCAGTCGCCAACGCATGCGTACACCCAGCTCCATCTGTCCATCCGTCCATCAGCTCACCCATCCAGCCACGCACTGGTCCACCCATCCGACCACACACCCAGTGATCAATCCGTCGATCCATCCACGCAGCCATCCGACCATGTAATCTCGCCCGGTTCCTTCCTCTCTGTCTCTGTCACTGCTCTCGTCCTTTCCCCCTCCTTGTTCCCCACCTCTCCACCCCTTTTGCCCCTCTCCTCTCCTGTCCTCACCCTCTTCCCCTCCTCTCTTCTCCCCTCTCTTGGGGGGGAGGGGGCAAGAATTCCAGCACACCCCTGGAAACAAGGCCCAGGAAAAGGACCGCCTGCCGCAGCGGAAAGAGACGGAGAGGGACAGATTGGCGATGAGAGAGGTGCCCTCCTAGGGTGCTCTGGGAGAATAAATGGCGGACTCCGAAAACAATGAATTCAAAAATTGCCATCTCTTGGAGGGCTGACTTTTGCTCCCGCTGGCTTCCGCCAGCCTTCCGCTGGCGGAGACGGCCTCCTCTCACTTCCTTTTTTTGTGACGCTACACCCTCTAAGATTCGGCATGGATGTCTTGCGATGGGCTCAATGAAAAAACAACCGCATTCGCGGCGCAGCAAATTCCCTCGAATTATGCTGGAGCCCGAAGGGGGCGCCGAGACAGGGATAACGAGCCGCTGAAAGCAAGCTAACCATGATCCTGCACTCGAGCACCCCCTCCTCTGAGGGGATGGCACAGCGAGAGCAGCCGCCACGTAGCCCTCTAGCTATGCGGCGGGCCTCGTCCCGTAATGTTCACCCGAATTCGACTAAAGCACTCTGAACCGGAGGAAGGGGCGGGCCGGAGCAGGACAGGGGGGACGTGGCCGGCAAAGTTGTGACGTTGCCGACGGCGACCGCCTAAGGCTAGTGCGAATCACTCCTACCAGTTGACGCTGCCGAGGCTGTGGACCATCCGAGTAGCATGGGCAACGTGCCGGCCTGCGAAATCAAGTGTCTATCCCATGAAGGGCAGCCGAAGCACCGACCAAGCGTCTATCCCAAGAAGGGCAGCTGAGCACCGACGCGCCATGACGAAGCAGTGAGGAATAACCACAAATGGTGCCAACTCGAACACTAGCGACAGGGACCGCCGAATGCAATGCATCACCGAAAGGCCAGGCCAGGGAGTTGACGAAGTAGTAGGTGACGGCGTAAGTGGTTTATGTCGACAAGAACCCACGGGCATAATGCATGCTCGAGAAAACTTCGGGTAGAACTGGGACAGCAGTTGCTCTGTAATTGGCAGCGTGGGCGACCACGGAAATGAACTCCCTCCATGAGCCACACCGCCCAACTTCGGGCCCATATAGCCACCCTAAGCCCTAGTTCCAGCAAGAACGGGTCTCAATTGAACTCCACCTCGCTGTTCTCAGAGGTCGGGCCGCCTCTGAACGCTCACCTCGCTGGCGTAGAAGCTGCTAGCAGCGCCCAGCCGCGCCACAGGCATCGCACATGGCAAAGTTGGCTGGGTGCGGGCGCGGGTCACAGCCAGGGGGGGACTTGCGACCCCCCGCTCCACCGAGGAGGCAAACGGATCCTTGAGCCGCCGAGGCTTCCTCTCACTTCCGCCGCTTTCCGCCGAGGAAGGGGTGCCAACTCCCTCGATCCTCGAAGACGAAGCCCTTTCTGCAACTTCCCCAATCCGATGCCGCGCCTCCCAGGCACTCTCGTGGTGCGCGCTTTGGCCAAAACCCCGAAGCGACTCCAGCCGCGGGGACGAGGGCCCCCGAGGAGCCCCGATAAACCGAACACGAGGATGGGTGGCGGTGCTGTCTCGTCAACTCGCGCAGAGGATCCATGTCTTGCGCGAAGGGTACCTTCTCGACGCGAACGGCGCTGGGAGGGGCGAGGGCGCCGGAGGAGGATGGAGGAGGAGGAGGAGGAGGAGGAGAAAGAGGAGGAGGAGGAGGAGGAGGAGGAGGAGGAGGAGGAGGAGAATATAGATAGAGGAGGGCAGTGGAGATGGAGAAAGAGAAAGAAGATGGAAAAGGCACGCTGACCGAGAGGAAGAGATGGAAGCTCCACCACGTCCATCCACTTACTTCCCCGCGCGAGCCCACCCAGCCGCCGCGCGACGACGGGTGGCCATTGGCGTTGGCGTATACGGGCGGCGGGAAAGAAAGAGAGGACAAATTCGGGGGGGGGGGAGGGAAGGGTATGACAAGGCAACCATGCTGACTGAGAGCCCTAACACATGCAAGAGCCTGGTTGATCTCACTCCGTCTGGATTCCGTTCTCAGACGGACATCCACCAAGGAGCGCGTACGTTCATGAGAAGCACATCCGGAGGGAGAGAAACCAATAACAATAATTGCGCGTTAGGTCAACGACGACAAACTGCGAAAGCAAACGTCGCCGGGAAGAGGCAACAATGAGGTGAGGAATAATGGAACTCAGAAGCGCATCGCCCCAATTACAAGGAAGCCCCAGAAGAGCACCTGTAACACACCCGACAAGCACAGGGCATATGGAGTAATGGGAGCATGTCGTCTCCGCCAATCTCGCGACAGCTGAACCCGCACACCTGGACACATTGACGGTACCTGCAGGTGGTGTTCCACCCATTGAACATCGTTTTCAGACATGCAGTCGTCACAATTTCATGAGCACATGTTTTCAGACATGCTGACTCTCCGCATACTTAACGCTCCAATCCCCCAGGACCCCAGGGACATCAATTTGGTTATCCTTCTGCTTCTCTGTTTCGCACACATTGACGCACACATCGAGGGCCAACTATGCCGCCACCACGGGCGTCAAAGCCAACTCGCAGGGCGGGCCCCCCCGCCAGAGACGTTTTGCAGCCTAGCGCGGGGAAGGCAAAGCGGCACCGAATCCACAACCCACTACATCAGATGGACAGGATCACCGACGATTCCGACAGCGGTCTCACAACTCAACGACATGGTCCATTCCAAGAGCACTTGGCGGTCGCGTCCAGCATCAATGACTGACATCAGCGTCAGGGCTGGTTACATGGGATGTTTTGGATCGTACGTTTCAAGAACAACTCAAACACCTGATATTGCCACGAACCCCGATCTTGAAATGCAGTGGGGATGATTTGTGAGAGTGGCATGTGCATGGATGGATCTGCCTCTTGGGGGCTTGATTTGACGACGGAGAAGAGTTCCGACGAAGAGATCTGCATCAATCATTGTGTTTGCCTCACGTTGTTCCTGGGAGCTCTTTGGAGTGTCTTGGAGGCTCCTGTGCTCTGTGGCGGACC